AGTCCCTGATGCGATTTTGCTTGCGTATCTCATTACCTTAACTGCACGAACTTCAAGTTTCTCAGCAAAGAGTAGACTTGAAAATGAAAGACCCTTTCGAAAGGCTCACCTCCAACTCCGAATCCGTTTTGTAGACGCGTAATTCGGCCATGATTGGGTACAGCTTCTTAACATCAACGTCAAACCTTAAATCAAAGGACCATGACTTCCAATATTATGTAAGTGTGAGCATAAGGCATGAGACTATTTATAACTGTGCTATGAGAGCGGGTTGTCTGATGGTGAGAAAAAACCGCATCAAGGCATTCGAATAAGTCTGTCACCATACCTTGCGTCAGAGTGCGTTCATACTTTGCATCTGCGTTCTAGGCGTATGGGAGCCTTTAGAGCTCAAGGACGTACGCCAACGTTTTGAGCGCTAGGAAGGTCAGGGTGTTGATCGAGCGCGTTGATCACACGCCAGTGTTTACAGCTACTGCTCGCGAAAAGCTGGAAACGCTAGATCGATAAGTATACTTTTCTAGCCGCTCAAAACGCTTGAAAGACTGCCGCACACTGAAACGCGCTAACGCAAAGTATGAACGCAGTCCAAGAGAGTGCGATCCGGAAGAACGCGCTAGCCACCAAAGTCGGCAACGTCCCACGTCCCATCCAGATCAATACTCATGGTTTCCTATCGCGCGCACTCTTTGAAAACGTTGAATCGTCGATTCTCCACTTTTCCATGTATCTCGAGTCGCGAAGCATAAACGCAGCCTAACTTCGTTCGAGTCAAACTCTATTAAACTTTCTGCGTTAAAGAAAAAAAGTAAATAATTAAAAACGTACGACTCTTTGCCATCGAATGTTGGCGGCTCAAGAACATTACCGCTGTCGCTGTTTTCCGCTCTCTCAAAGATCTTCATTAGTTTTTAAAAAGCAGATTTGCAGCGGATGCTACTCACCAAAAGCAGAACTTTTTTTGCTCCTAGTCCTCTGATGTAGTCACTTATAACATTCTTACTCTGGAAATGAACTTCGTCGACTTCGTACTTGTCCTTGAAGTAGGACTCATCGTTGATCCTGAAGAAGGCCACGCTTTGAGCTGTGACATCGCTCATCTAGCTAGGAACAAAGAATACGGGACATACTTTCCATCCCATATAGCATAGCTGGGATCGAGAGTTGGAGGAAAAAGACAGGATTTCCCTGATTCAACGTCGACCGTTCCAAAGAAACCGCTTTCGTGGACACCAAAAGTCCAGAAGAAGTAGGATTCCTGAACGAACTCGTTTCGGATTAGTAGAGAGTAGAGCTTGAGAAATGCGACCTGTCTAAATGGTAAATCTTCTGCGTCAGTATTATAGCGAGTCTTTTCGGATTCCTCCCTGTAGCAGCACAACACTTCTCGGAGCTACGCGCTGTAATGACAATTTGTTCATTTAACATAGCTTTCATAAACATATAGGAAACAGCTCATAGACAGGGCACAGCATTCAATGGGGATTTTGGTCGAGC